GAAGAGGAGAGTGATTTGGCCACTTGGCCCTCGTGCCCCTCTTTGCCCTCGTGCCCAGGGACTCGCTGAGTGACGCATTCATTCTTTCAACGGACAGACAGAGAGCCCTCTTCACCAGACACTTGGCTCCGGCCAGTAATAGCCAATAGCTATTCTAAGACCCAATCCAGAGCTCATTGGTTCTGTCTTTGTCAGGTTTGACGAGACGGGAAGCAGCAACGGGCGATTTATAGTCCTGCTGGGGGTTTTTGCAGATTATTCGATCAATCGTTTGGTCTATGAAACGGTTGGAATTGAAGTCCAAAGTGTTGTCATCCATCTTGTTTGTCCGACAAATAGTCCAAAACATTACAGATAAAAGCACCAAATCCTCACATTGGAGAAGCTGAAGCCTCAGAATTTGGGAAATATTTGCAAAAAAAATTTAAAAAAGGTTGTTTGTATTCACTGACTCATCGTTTTAGCTTTATCGCTTACTCATCATTAAACTGAAATATCATGTAGATAATATTCCAAATAGTTCTGTGTGTTTAAAGAACATCTTTTAAGTAACTTTGCTGACTACAGTTGTGAATATCAGAGCACAGGCTGCTTTTAAAAGACACAATTGAGCTCATTGATCAAAACAAAAACATATGCAGCTGCAAAAACATGAAATACTGTCATTGTGGAAAAGTTGTATCGGTGAACACTTGACAGTCTGAGTACTTGTTCTTCAGATAACAACTGTAAACTGCTGATTCAACGGTTAACGTGAAAACTCTGCAAAACACCGTGGCCACTAAACACACTGCTCCGCCTGTGCTGTCCACCCATTCTCTGCTCTCTGGCTCCTCTCCTTCATCACTCCTCTCCTTCCTCTCTGGGCCCTGGCGCTGATCCAGTGTGTGCCCACATGTTACTTTTGCAGCACGCCATCCTTTGCCACCTCCACCCCGAGTGGCAGAGAAAAAAAAATAACCCAGGTTCTTCATTCACTGGCGTTATTTACACAAACAGAGTCCCAACTCCGTTTCTGTGACAAAGCCAGCTAAATCTTTACGGCTCTTTCATGTATTGTCTGCCCGCGGTTCCCTTTTGTCCCCCAGGCCATTGGCCCGGGCCCTGGATACAATGAGCCCGGGGGAATGGAGGCAGATTGAAGGAATGCGCCTCAATAAACCTAATTATGACATGATGACTGCGCTCACCATGGTAGGGGTTTTTCAAAGATCCTGGGCTTATTCAATTAGCCCTTTCCAGGATCCCCTTTCACCAAATAAAGTTATCCCTTTGACTGTTTGCATTGCAGAGTGGAATGTGCACGTAGGTGTGTGTGTGTGTGTGTGTGTGTGTGTGCATGCGGTTGTCTGTATGTGTGCGCACACACACGTCTCGGGCCTAAATGGAAATGTATCGGCCCTCAACAAGGCTCCTCTGTATTATCTGGCTAATTTCACCTAAGTATGGACTCTAAACTATACACTGTGAAAATGTGCAGCAGGAGGAGGGAGGAGGCGGGGTCACCGTGACTGTTTTAATCATTAACTTTGTCTGCAGGGTTAATTACTATGAAGCTGGGAGTTTGGTGTGAGCCCAGCAACAGGCCTGGAGGGCCAATGTTGCTGCCAGATACATAAATATTTGATGGAACGTGGAGGGGGTTGTTTTTTAAAACACGACTTATCATACGGGAATTTTGGAAGAAAATGTAGCTATATATTAGCTATCAAAGACAGGCTGTGTGCACACAGTGATGGTAATAACTCAGCTTTGGCCATATAACTGTGAATATTAATGCCACCATTCAAGACAAAAGTTTAGCCAACAATTTGTAAAACTGGGCTAAATGTTTCGGTTTGTGTGTCATATTATTCATCTCAAAAAGGTATAAAATGCACTGGTGTTATGTATTTTAAAGGTTTGGTATTATTTATGTTTTTTGTTCACGAAATATATTAAAGATATTTTGTATTGAAAAGTCACAACAAATATGTCTTGTTCCAAAGCAGACAGCTACACCAACATAAAGATAAAGGTGGTGGCCAAAATATAAAATTAAAACATATTTCATTTATAAATATTACTAATCAGATGCAGATACTGCAGTCATTTTAAAGCATTTTTAATTGCAACTAAATATATTTAGAATCAAATCGCAAAATGTTACAATAAAGAACTTATTGAGACACTTTATGGAGTGATTTGACTTCGTGCGCTCCGCAGGATGGAGCCCAGATACCAGACGAGCTGTGCGCCGCAGGCTGAGAGAAACAGAGAGGGGGAGAGAAAGGGAAGGAAACAAGAGGGAGAGGGGCGGTGTGGCTCTCCAGATGAAAGTGGGATGAAATAAAAGAGTCGATTTAATCTGCTTGAAGAGATTTGGTGAGCAAGTGGTGGAGAAGGAGGGGGAGGAGGGCGAGTTTTTTCGAGAGTTGCGCGCATCAGCGCAGGACGGGTGGCTGGAGGGGGGGGGGAGCATTGTGAAGCTGCGCTCCGGGCCAGACCCGGGCTCTCCGGGGAGAACATTGGTCCCCATTCACCGAAACCACTCTTTAATACACTCCCTCCGTCATTTAATGTGACATAGCACAATATCGAGATCATTTAGAGGACATTATTAATGTTCCGAGGGGGGCAGCGAGGCCGGGATTCATCAGAGAATCAATAATAGATCATGAGCTGCAGGCCGGAGACGGCTCCGTGTCATTGGCACCAAGGCGGAGAAGCTGCTCGTCTTTTTCTGTTAAAGCTCTGACGTAACAAATGCAAACCGGAAGTAAACAAAACAACATTTATAACTTTTTTATATGAATCTAAAATATTTGTGTTTGCGACCAAAAATATGTCTTACTGGCTTGTCAGCTTTGTTCCTCCTCTTCCTGTTGCGCATTTATCAAAACATTTTTTCTGCATTTTGTCACTTTAAAATTGGCACATCTTAGCTGCATTTGTGCGCGCACACGTGTGCACCAGCCAGGTTTTTAGGGGGCGAGCACGCATCCTTGGGGCAATACGTGAGTGGGTTTCAGAGGCCTCAATTGTCCCTTTGAATGGCAGCCGGACCCCCAAAAAAGGAAACATTTTGTAGGTGAAAACGGCCATTTTCCCTCGCTGAACGGGGCCCTCTAAACCGAGCCGGAGCTCCCTGAATAATTCATCCTTCATTGCGGCCTCATAGTGTGTTTTGTCGGGCTTTTTTCTCTGACTGAATTATAAACAGGTTGCCTTCTTCTTTTAGCGCGGCGGCCAAAGCTGTTTCCAAGCTGGCCTTTTGTCCATGCGCAGGCAGCCCAAGCGTGAGCCCCAAATGGACTCTCGCGCCTTTGTCTCCCAAGTTCATCCTTGAGCGTCCCGTTGTGCGCGCGAGGCGCGTCTTTGTGGGGAGTTGGAAACCGTTGAACAAATGTTTGATCAACTCATCTGGGGGACATTTTGTCTCCTCCGACTAGAGTCCCTTATCTGTCCTCCCCTGTTGTTGACATTTCGCTGCTTAAACTGTTTCCAAAAGTGAAAAGAGAAGAGATGGAAACTGTTTGAACGCCTCATGTTAGGGCCTTAAGTCTCTGGTGATAGATTATGAACGTTGAACGTTAAATGTTAAAATGTGAAATATATTAAGATTGTTTTTCCCCGGAATGAACCCACCCCGTTCAATTTAGCTGTCACGCAGCGTGCCCACCTATAATTAACTTTCTCAAAGTACAAAAAGAGAAAAATATTTAAATGGTTTCATCCTCACCGCGAGACGACTGTTACTCCCATGAGAGGAGAAGATGGAGTCATTATGGAGGTCAGTAATAATTTGGAAAGTACCAAATTAAAGTGTGACGAATTCACACACTAATGACGTAGGCAAAAAGTACTGACATTCAACATATAGGTTAGATGGGCTCCAAACCGCTCTCACATACCGTCTAATGAGGGAAATGAAGAACATAGGTTTTATTCCTTGGCTTGCAACACATCCTATCCCACAATATAGTTTCCACTGAAACACCTGGGCTGAGGCCAACAACACTGGAAAATATTTAAACAATTTAAAAAACGTTTTTTAGCAAAAAACACTTTTAAAAACTTAATTTAGATCAGTCTATTCCGCCTGCTTCAAATCTACTACACGGTCATTACAATTGCATTGCAAACATTTATTTTTGTTTAATAAATAAAAAGTAATTATTTATTTGCTGGTGCACGTTTTACAGTGAACGATGTAGTTTCAAACATTAGTTAAAAAATTGTTGTTTTGTTTCACGAAACTATAAAACACAACCTGCAAAGCAACGGGCCAAGACAAATGCGACGTGTTTATAATTCATTAAAGCATTGCAGTTAAATATATTGATTAATAACGTCTCTCTTTGTAATCCTGCAGTCCACAAGAAATAGATAACAAATAGATAATCTATCTTTAAATATGTGCGTCCATACAGACTTACTGTGGCTGTTCATCCACTCCAAACACTGCACGCTCTCCCTTACGCACAGAGAACGTCACCTGCTGTTTGATTTACGCTACACGGCCTCATGGGGGGGGGGAGATATGGTCGATAAAGAATTCCTAACAAAGGCTCTCCACCCCCATCCAACAACTTTACAGCATGCTAAAACTCCGCAGAGAGGCTCGTTACGCGGCTAAATAAAAAGCTTTCTCTCCTTTACGCTCTGCTCATGAGCAATCAACAGGTTGGAGGTGCTGAACACCAGACGTTCACGTTTGTTGAGGAGGTTAAGCTGCGAAATGGGAATGTATTCCTCTATAATTCAATACTGGTGGATAAATAGACTGTTACGCTTTCACTTTCATACTAATATTCCCCAAAGCACGTCATAAATAGGCAATTTAGCGAATATATAAATAAAAAGGGTGATTAAATTCCTCCCACGTGGCCTCACTGTATCTGATCAAACTTTGCGCTCTAATGTGCGCGTGAGGTCACTGATGTGACCCCCAGCTTCAGCGAACAGCCAACTATTGTCCTCCACATCACCGGCCATAGAACTTGGAGAGGTTCACTCACATCTGTCTCCCAGGATGCCTTCAATGCTGTGTTTGGCCCTCCGGTCGTTCTCCTCCAACTCCTTCCTCTCGATCTCCTCTTCGTCCTCCTCTTCATCGCCTCTCCCCCCAAACTTACTCCGCATGGTGCGACTGATGGAGCTCACTGCGAACGGTCGTTCAAAAAGTGGAAATAATTACGAAAATAGAAACACAAAATAAATCATACTTTAGACAAACATACAAAGTATTTAATATAAAATAATTGGTACATCAAAAGATGACAAACATACACTTTACATAATAATAACATAACATATTATATATCTTAATAAGGCTTATTTATTATATATATCATAAATAATTAATTTATGATATATAAATACATATATATATACATACATAATAAATAAGCGTTATAAAGTTGTCGAAGGTTTCTAAAAACTAAATTACAGAAAGAAACGGGGCTTTTTTTAACTTTACTTATAGTTTTTATTATTATTATTTAAAAAGTAGGCTACATGACAACCTGTTGTAGTCGCAGTTTAACTTGATACATAAAGAAATAAGAAAAGATAAAAGAAATAATAATATTAATAATAATAATGTGTAAATGCATCCATGTCTGCCCTTTTTACCTGAAGGGACGTTGTTGCGGTCACATATCCCATCCTTCAGTAATTTATCCCGAATCTCCCAGCTAAACATACCCGGGTTTTCCCGCTTGTAATCTTCTATTCTCTTGTCTACGTCCGGCGTTGTTCCCTGCTTTGAAAAGGTCAGAAGAGTCGCAGTGTTTATTCACTTTGTTGTGGCCCTTGGGGCACAATGCATACATCGCCTTTATAGGCAATGAAATCAACAAGTTAATGTCCAAGTTAAGCATTCAATATGAATGTGCATCAGTATTATTCATAAGAATATATTCTGCATATCTGCAAATACAACCTCATGATCTGAGGGTACCTTGGGTTTGCTGCCACCGATGGCACCGGGTCTGATGGAGCCCGTCTCCTGGTACCGGCACAGGATTTTGGACACGCAGCCGTGGGAGACCCGCAGCTGTCGGGAGATGACACACGGCCTGACGCCGTGGTGCGCCATTTCCACGATTTTATGTCGGATGTGGTTGGGCAGAGGTCTGCCATTTATGAAAACTCCCCCGAGCTGGTTCACGCGGCCTTGACCCAACGGGGTAGACACTACATTGAATCCCAAAAAGAAAAACATATGAGAGGATCACCAAAGTTGATCCAGTGCATGTTATATAAAAGTTGCGTTTAACAGACCCAAACATGTACCTGAACACACCAATAACAAGATAACAATGCATCTGTTTTCTTTGTATAACTGCTCCAAAAAAACAACCGACAATAAATAATTTACGCAATAATTTAAAGCAAAAGTATCCCCTTAAAACATCTACACTATTTATGAAAATATAGCATCATGTTAATAGACTAGTCTGCAAAAAAAGTTGCTTAAATTAAATTAAATGTGAGGAACAAAACAGAAAAGCTGTAAAAGTAGATGAAACTAATGAATTGTCAGGTCAGCTATAGTGAAGTAAGATGTCGCTTTACTGCTATAACACTTTAACTGTAGGCTACTAAGTTTTGCTGGAGAAACGTCCAGAAAACAAACACATATCTTCCGTCAACATCCTTTTGGTGCAGTGTGATGCTTTCACGTTACCTTCCAGAGGGAAGCCACTGCGGGGGTAGTTCTGAGCCAGCGTGGGTCGCATCATCCTGGTATCGACCCCGCCACACCCCGCGGTGACTCCGGATACCTCCTTTAACGGGGAGGTCGGCTGCTGCTCCAACACAGAGTTTGTTCCGCAGTAAAACAAAAGTCTGAAATCGCCTGAAGAAGCTTCCTGGAGGAAAAGGTTAGCCTCAGTTAGCCGCTGTCGGGCTACACAAGCCAGGCACCAGAGTCCCGGGACCCTCTGAGGAGTCAAACGGGACGATGAAAGAAGAAGAAAATTCGATTTGTTTTTTTTAGATGTTAAAAAGAGTTTCTCAGTCTCCTCGGTTGTTTTTTTCACTCTCCGGTGTGTGTGCTCTTGTTAATGCGGGTTGCCACGGCGGTGCAGCCGGGGACGAAAAGATATTGTTGTTGTTGTTTGTTTGACACCGGTTCAAAGTGAGAGGAGACCGTCAAAAGTAGCGGAGCTCCTCTCTCCAAACCCGGGTCGGCGCTCCCTGGCTGTGATTGGTCGAGAGGGGTACACCACGGGTACGCAGCGCGGCGCCGATTGGCTGAGGGGCTGACAAACTTCCGTCCTATCAGGAGAGAGCGACGCTGTCACAGTTCCGCTCGGATGGAACAGGGGCGTCGATTCACACAAAAACAAACACAAAATGACTTTATGGAGGAAAGCAGAGCAACAAATAATGACTGAGGAGGTATAATTATTTAGTTAATGTGTTTATTAGCACTGGTGGAAGAAGTATTCAGATCCTTTACTTCAATAAAAGTACTAATACTAAGCTCTGAAAATACTCCACTGTAAAAGTCCTGCATTCAAAACTGTACTTAAGTAGAAGTATGTAAGTAGGCAGCAAAGTGTACCTAAAGTATGAAGAGTAAAAGTACTCATTGTGCAGTAAAATGATCCGTCAGTGTTTATGTTATATATATGATGTTTTTTGGATGCTGTATTATATGCTGCATGTTTTAACTCCTTTGTGTACTGTTGGCTGGTTTAATCATATTCTATAACATCATCATATATGTAGCATCGCTGTCCTGTGTAAATAGTTTATGTAGCTTTAGGAGAAGTTTCTCAAACCGTAAAGCAACATTTCATCCTTTAGTTGCAAATATTTAAAAAATCAAGACATCTGGAGATACGTTGTTTTCACTGGACAGGAAGGAGATGAAACACTGTAATCTATAAAGTAATTAAAGATGTCAGAGTAAAAAGTACAATATTTACCTCTGAGGTGTAGTGGAGAAGATGTATAAAGTAGCATAAAATACTCAAGAACAAGTGCCAGTAGTTTACTTATTAAGAGTACTTGAGTAATTAGTTACATTCCACCGCTGGTTATGAGGTCACAGACGCACACTGGTCCTGGTGTGAGCTTTTTCCAGTAAATTACTGTCAATGAATCCCTTCTATTAAACAAAAAAAAATATATATATATAAATAATAAAGGATGTAATTAATAGGTATATTTGTCCGCTGGTATGCACTGACTTACATTAAATGTTACCCAATACAACAGACAATAAATACATTTCAACAACTTTTGCTTGTGACGTATTGCTTCTTTCTATATTTCAATGAGGGGGGGGGGGGTCAAATATTAAGAAACACTTTCAGTCTAAAACCAGCTCTGAGAAGAACAAAAAAAAAAAAAAACACAACAAAATGTATTAACATTTAGAATGAAATAATTGTTGCATTGTATTGTATGTCATCAGACTCCATCTATGGATCTAAAGATAATATGATTTGATATCAAACACTTGCAGCCACGTTTTAACCACCAAATTAAAGTCAATATTGTGTCAGTTTATCTCACATATCATCAACACACAGCCCGATGCTCCTGACATGTTCGGCTAGTCTCGGATTGGGTTTCATCTCAGCTCTAAAGTGTAGAAACCAAAACCGAGCAGGATTCTGTCCTTATTCAACAAAACAGTAGCTAAAGAGGCAAATGTGTGACTTTTGCTTGTGCAGATCTTCACGCATTGATTAAAAAAAACATTAAACAAAATCACTGAGACTCCTCATTTTGTCACCAATCTGTGCGTAAAATCATCCGAAAAAACCCGTCCAATGCATGCCGTCGCACACGACCCCTAATTTGTTTCCACCCCGTGGTCTCATATATGACACAAATGGTGCTGAAGTGTGTGCACCTCGAGGAATTTATTGTGGGGTTTTCAGACCGAGCTCCAGCCGGCCGAGGACAGTCTGAATGGGGGGACGTGCGCCACAGCAGGATACGACGCCAGGGCGGCCGTAAAGACAGCCTAGAGCTCAGTGCGCAATGGACAAGCGGGTGTATTTTTATCCCCAAATGTGTAATAATCAACACTGTCACCGCCCCGAAAAAAGAGAATGAAAGAGCGAGGTGTTGTTTCTGTTAAAGTCCAGCCATGGACCCTGTATCGTGTGTGTTACTGTATAATCAATCACTGAAGCACAAAGCTCTGTAATCAGAACAAAAGATGGTTTTACTTCACTGTCCATCCCTCACCATTTCACCTTTAAAGCGCAGCCTCTGCACCAACGAACGAACAGCGTTTTCCCCGATTAATTCAAATCTCATCATTATTTCAATGTATTTCTTGATTGTGGACACATGGCAGAGCAGCAGCATCACGGGCCCGGCCCTTCATTAAGTGGAACAGGTGGGTTTTTACCTCTATAGGCAATCAAGGTGCAGTAATGAAGCTAATATAACAGCGGGACTGGAAAAAACATCTTGTGGATGAGAGTGCGGTTAGAAATATGTTGTTCTTCCTCTCCACCTCTGTGTGACTCATGCTAAACTAAAGCTGAAAAGCCCCCCAGCCCCTGGTCAGCCCTTTCGGGGGGGGGGGGGGGGGGGTCGGATTCCCTGTCATTCACCTCCATTTACGCAGAGGTATCCCACAGGTTAAGTAGGTTTCAATTAACATTCGCCTCTTTTTAGTCGCTTTGGAAGAAGAAAGAATTTTAAAAAACGCACTTCATATGTTGACTTTGCTGTCAAAATAAAGGCGCGCGGACAATAGGTGGACGCTGGGTTTAAAATAAGCGGGGCCCACGGGGGTCTTTCACCTGCTAAGGGGGGATACGTCATTATCTTTTCACGAGGAAGACTATTATCTGTATCACGCGTGGAAATGAATGACATCACTGCAGGTTGGGGAAACGCCAGTTAGTTTCTGACAGATCTTTTTTAACATTTGTAATAAAGCAGATAAAGATGATAATAATCATCATGAGCGCTGTTGTGCTTCGGACAAACATGTGAATAGGCCACTGTTAACACGTGGGCTTCTGATGTTGTTCTGCAAGTCGAGCATCAGAATAAAGGAAGAACTATTAGGCTGTAAGTGATGTAATAGTTTGTTTTGTATTATACTGAAACCATCAGTCTGACGAACGTGACGATTTGGGAGTGTCAGTGATCTTATTTGAAATATAATCTTACAGCCAAGAAAAAAAAACCAGAGGGGGCAAATGGAAAACAGAGGAGGGCACGATGCATACGTCGGCCCCTTTCTGCGACACTGAATCCGCGTGTCCAATCCATTACCGGAGGATGAATCCAAAGTCAGAAATCTCTGCTTGATGAGAAATAAATGAGTTGCGTCACGTGCTCGTGCGTCGAGGCCATTTCGCGAACACACAATTGTCACATCGATTAGTTAACATCGCACCCTATTACGGTAATAATGCATGCAAAGATAAAGGCGATAATACATGGTGATGTCATGGAAATCATTATTTATATTTTTGACTTACAGTAAGTCCACAGAGAGGAGAGGGATCTATACGTCATAGTTTTATTTTTAACACTTTAATATTTACTTATAGAGCAGTGAGTATGCAGGTAACATCCATCATTAATTATTATCTGACTTATAAGTCAATATTGTTTGTATTATAGCATGAAAGAAGTATTCTGATTAAAAGTAACAGTACTGCAAGGAAAATATACTCCAACACAGCCCTGCAGAATCAGAAGAAGAATGTAGTACTAGCTTACTACTTAACAGTAAAAGTACTCATTGTGTAAAATGGGCCCATTTAGAGAGTTATTATATTGTATTATATGTTTAGCTATTATTGGAATATTACTACAGATTCATTAACTTGATAAACTGTTGGGTAATTTAATACAACAATGTATAGTTTAAAAACTCATAGTGTTGCGTATAAAATATTGATGAGAAAAGTATAAATGACAGCAGTCAAAACAATACAGTGAGGTAAAAAGTATATTTCTCCTCTGAGTACAAGTAAGTACCTCAAAACTGTCGGCCTACAGTACTCAGTAATATTCCACAAATGTTTATATTGTAGGTTAATATTGCATATACTTCTTGAAAAAGGCTGATAAATGTATTTATCATAGAACTATGATTCATTGTCTCCTGACGCGTTTTAAATGCAGTTTTGAGTGTTTCTGTAAAAGTTTAGTGTTTTTACCCCAAACTGAATACGTCACCGTTGTAGCTTCTGACATGGAATACAAAAAACAAGAAAAACACAAGTTAGAAGCCTACACGTAAAGTATGTTTATGCTACTGTGGTGCTTAATGTCTAACGAGAGCCATTGACATACATTACCCAGACTTCCTCACAAAGAACACGTCGTCTCATCTTGGTTGATGGCGGTAAAAGCGAGCACTCGCCTTAATGTTTCCAGTAATCAGTGTAACTGTAGCTCGGCTCTGATACAATAGTCTTTAGTGTTGTGATCTGATCAGTTAACAGACTTGTTTACATGCTGCTGAGAATATGAAAGGGGGGGGGGGGTGACAGCTTTAATTTATGGCCCATGAAACTTCTGTCCTTAATAGTAAGCTGTAATCAGACGGTGATTGGTCAACACCGGTGTTTTTCTATCTATTCTGTTTGTTTATGAGGGATGAATGACTTCATTTATACGGAGTGAAAAAGGGAGCCTCACAGTTTAACATATTGAAAAATGTATTTACTTTTAATCAAGTTTCAGCCACCAGAAGTTTACACAACTGGACCTGCATGAGAAGTGCAATCAAGTTGACACATTCTTTTTATATTATTAATGGCATGTAGCACTGTGTGTCTACCAGTAGGGGGCACATCTGATCTTTGAGCCTGCACTGACACACTGGTTTGATATTTAACATGTGATTCCTATTTAACAAACACAATGTGTTTTACTTGTGTGGACATGGGATCAGCTTGTTCACACAGTTATTATGTAAGACTGAGCTTTTGAAGACTGAATGATGGACGCAACCGGATATTCCAGGTATTCCTTTATTACTGAAATGTGTTTTTTATTTTATGTATGTAAAACAGCACATAAGGAACATTTCTCTGTGCAAATACTTTTTGGTACTTCAACAACAACCACAGATTCTCATTAAAAACCAAACGGTCCTCTGAAATAAATACAATATACGCTTACATTTAACAAAAAAGGTATTTTACCTCGTTACTTGAGTCAAATACGAGGGTGAAAGTGCATCATCTAAAAGGTGGGGGGGGAATAGGGTTGGGCAGGATGATTGACGCGAGCGTGGGACTCAGATTGGAGTGGGAGTTAACAATCATGTTGAATTATTGTCGTTTTATTCCCCATGCAGTGAGGAAGGATACCATGAGTGTGTGCGAGGGCAACAAGTGCTCACATTAAAACCACTTCGGTGTCCGAATTCTACACAGGAAGGTCGGGGGGGCAGAAACACAACACAGGCGTGTAACTCACATTCCTCAAACAAATAAGGTACTCTTCTCTCCATATTCAAGAATAATAAATAAATAGTTGTATAGATTAGCAACGATTACACACACAGATTTGACCAACGGGTTCACAGTAATGTTGAGAAGAAGTTTCACGTTTTAGCCTTTTTGATGCGTTTGTTAGTAAAGTGTTTCTGCTTTACTTGTATTTCTGAGGGGGGAAAAACGTTTTTATTATGTTTAAGTTCAGGCAAATGTAATATTTGCATGGTACTGAAATAACACAAACACATGAATCTCTCCTAAGCCTCTTTCTGATCACAGCCACAAAGCTCATGGGGCTCCTAACGTTTGCAGATGTAATTAGGACTCCTGACGATCTCAAGAGGAACCACAGTGACACCAAATCTGTCCTTTGTTCACTGGGTCTGGCCTGGAAAACAGATGCTTTAGATTCTCACGCTTTGAGAGGAAGAAGAGGAGTGAACATGGCGCTGAAGGTGGCCTGGCTTATGGTATCTATTCTGACCTCTCTTCAAAGCCGGATGCAAAGAGACACATTTATCATAAGTGTAAAAAGAAATAAAGGTGGCGATTTGAGAGGCAGCTCCGTGGTTGGAAACCCTGTTTTTCAGCTTCCGTTTGCGTAAAGGATGTGACACAAAGAGGAAATCTCTGCCTGTACTGAAACTCCAGCTGGATGCCGTCTGCGGCAGGAGGCCCCGTGCACCATCGTGATCATGACTACAGTGAAGTTGTTGTTTTCAAAGGTGAGGCACACGAGTCAGGAGACACGATGTCCCTCCTGTTGATAAAAACAAAAACAAAAGAAGTAGAAACAAAAAGCTGTGACCTTTCAGGAGGCTAACATGCACAAAATGTAGGCAAACACTTTCAAAATCACAAGCGAATCCCTTCGAGAAAACAAAAACAAATAGAACCTGGAAGAGGTGCAGTGTTCACGGTGAGAGAACAGGAAACAGTGGCATCCTTTAGGAAAGAGTTCAAGCACAAAAGGTCATCAAGAAAGACGGACGACACCTTACAGTTCTGCTTCTCTGTGAGCTATTTACACGACTTCCTCGTTGGGGAGACTTTGGAGGCTTCTCCTCCATCAAAACCTAAATACATCAGCTGAGAGGTGAACATAGTTAAATATCTGTACAGTACATTAGTGCTCGGTTGAGATATAAGAGTGGATCCTCGTGGACAGTTATCATACAGTGAGTGGCATTGTGGGAGATGCATATCATTTATAGCAGGAAAGAGCGGGGGTCAAAACCCTGGAAATAAGCACTTCACTCACATTCAGTCATCAAACCAGCTGAGATCCAACACCAGGGGCCAATACTGGCAATTCAAGTGCACCGTTTAAGAACAAGATTATCAAGGATGATGTCGGCCTATTGCTCCAAACAACACGAAGGCCTTTTGGGTGTTTGCTATATAAGAAAAGGCAATTTTTGGACGACATTTTGTTCCCTAGAAAAGGTAAAGGGAGCGGGAGAATCAGTTGCCAGTATTATGTACACAATCACACACACACACCAGCGTTCAGAGTCAAAGCCGGCGGCCGCGTCAGGCGTTTCTCCGGGAGTTGCTGGTGGCGGACGAGCGGCCCGCCTCGTGATCGGGTCTGTACTTGAGCCAGCAGATGAGCCACGTGACCACCACCGAGAACATGGCCAGGATGCTGGCCACCGACAGGCAAATGGGTCCCGCCGGTGAGGGTGGGATGCTGTGGCTGTGCACAAAGATCAGGCCCATGAAGAGCAACACCAGCATGGAGAGGAAGGAGAAGATCACGCAGACGCAGCCGGTGGTCAGCGCCACCCGCTTGCAGCTCTGGCAGCTGTCGTAGCGCACCGAGTCCTGGGAGAGGGTGGTGGCGGTGGACACGGTGGTGGACGGGGTCGCCTGGCCGACGCTGGACGTCCCCGACGTCTCCTCCCGGCGCAGGGCGACGAGCGCCGGGTGCAGCGGGGGAGGGTACGGCGGCAGCGCGTCCTGGGGCAAGGGGTCCGACTCGATGTAGAGCGGGAAATCCTCCGTCACCTTGGTGTTGTTGGGCAGGTTTTGGATCCGGTAATCCGGTACCGGCGTCCGGTGGCGGCAGACGGGGCAGCTGATGCGCCACGGCCGCTCCTCGCGCAGATGGAGCGTGTTCAGGCACTCCTCGCAGAACGTGTGCAGGCACTCGAGGATCTTCGGCGCGCGGCGGTCGAGGTCGAAGTAGTTGTAGCAGATTTTGCACTCGTACTCCTCGTAGGGGAACACCGAGGAGGCCTCTCCGGGGGGTTCCGCTCCGCTCGGTGCCAGATCTACCTCTGCCATGTCATCTCTCGCCATTCACGCTCTCCGGCGAACACAAAGGGGAGCTGGCGGACAGATGCTGATGACGGTGCACGTCTCTCCTCCTCTCCCCCTCCTCTCCTCCTCGCTCATTGAAGCGCCATCATCCCCGCAGACATTGTTGATGTGGGCTATTTTTCTATATTTATACATCCATTAGCCTTCCCCCACTGCCGCGTGATGTATTAGAGAGCTGCTGCCGCTCCGTCCAAATGATCGGGTCCCGGTTGAATATGAAAAAGAAAAGAAAAAGCTCTCGATTCCTGCTCGGCTGTGTGGGAATAGATGACGTAATGGTGGTGACTCCGAGCATCCCACAAAGAGAGAGAGAGATGATGATGATGATGATGATGATGATGATGATGATGATGATGATGATGATGATGATGTGTCGCCCCGAAAGTCCCGTTAAAGAGAGAGTGTTGTTGTTGTGTCGTTTCCAGTGTTCTCGCTGTGGATTCACGCAATTGCGTACAGAGCATGCCAGGATGCGCTAATTTGGTCAAATGGGGGCGTCGATTCGCCGTTTCCGGTAACAACGAGCGTCTAAACTCAACGTGTTCCAATCAAATACCAAATATCAAACTGCACCGTCTTACATTACATGGGGTTGAGTGGAACAATGGGCAGTTGAATATTTTATTCAATTCATATAAAAATAGGGAAGTGAAGTTTATGAAGAGACTCTAAAGTTCCACATTTGTTCAATAAATCACGTCAGGAATCATTTGGAGTGGCTTCAGGCATCTCATCATGTTGGTATACAGGCCTACATGTTGTATTTCAACACTGTAATAAACAAAGTTTGACTTCAAAGAAGATATTTTAAAAAACTTAAACTTGAAAAATATAAAAAATGCTGCTCTTACTAAAAGCCTTTTCTAATCATGAAAGAACCACAAATGAAGCTGTAGTCAGCTGACAAGTCTTTGAAGTGGCTCAAATGATGTGAAACCCTGCGGTTACATTACTCAAACTGACTCACACTCACAAGATTTGGCTCTGAAGCTGACGGCTACAAATTCTCAGAAGTTGTGTTGATGATCACGTACGATCACTAAAGTCCTGATTTAACATTGTTTACAGCAGGTATGTGGTTTCAAGACACACGCTTGTTGTCACAATGACAAGTGAAAAATGTTTTTTTCAGCCCTACAATTGGCAAAAGTTGTTAATGAACAGTTTTATAATAAGAGGGGACACAGTTCTGAATGAAGGGCTCGCCTACATGGACACAGTCCTCTTTCAGACACAAGCCTCACCGACCCAAAGAACTTGACCTCCAGCTGATATTCCATTCATCACATGGTCGTTCTCATATCCAATTTGCAGAGTTTTTGGTAAACGTGAATAAATCCTCTTTTATTTCTGGCACATTGATGGCCCCGCTGAGTGTTCCCCGGACTCAACTTTACAGGAAATCGTCCTCTGAATGTTGCCGTTTTGTGATTTCTGTAGAAAATAACCAAACAAATTGCTGGATCTCTGTTGGCGGGCGACTGATAACAAACAGGAGCAACGCAGTAGAGCCTGAAGCCTTCTACATCCAATTTCACAGTCTCATTACCATGGTGATGGTTAAGAAGCTGATGATGATGGAGAATCATCTTTTAATAATGCAGTCTCATTTTACCACAATTCACTGCAACAGCTGTTCTCAGAATGACCTGTTGCACTGTAAACTCTATTCTTTGGCTCAATATGGTCTGTTATATAGCTGACCATTATATATACATATACATATATACATATATATACACATATATATATACATACATATATATA